GCTATGTTTAATTTGGCCAAATACTCCAGCAGCCCAATTATACTAAAGAACCCATCCAACTCGCCCAACCCGGCTTGCCCCGTTGAAACACTATAAACGATGCCGTTTTGGAGCCAAACGACTTCGTTGCCCCTTCCCCACTCACTAAAACAACCCTAGTCCCCTTCAATCATTAGAACGCTGAGACCCCCTCCCTAAAAAAAGCCCTAACCGCTACCATCTCCTTCTTCACTCTCTCATTTGCATCCATACACGCAATTCTCACCTAAAAAATCACTCTCTCTCTCTCTCTCATCTCGCTCTTCTACACACATCTACAGTATAAAATAACTAAAGAAAAACTCTGAAAATTTGAAAGTTATATATGAAATACAGAGATACGAAAACAAAATAGAAAAGAAATTTCTGTCACTACTCAAACGGCTTTTGGTGTGCTTTCACGTTCTGGATTTTAAAACAAATGGTTAAGATTTGCTGCTCTATATTGCTGAATTTGTTGACGGCTGCTTTTGCTGGACTCCATCCGTCCTTTTTTCAGCTTTCACTTGGCCAACATTCTAGTTTACTTTTTGCAAAATTAGGTAAGACATGGAACCTTTGCACCTCACTTTGATTGAGTAATGAAATTGTGTGAATTCCGAACCATAAATTTTGTGTAATTGTTGTTGTTTAGTGAAGTACGATGTGGGAAAAATCATATTTTGGTCAAATAGTTGAACCTCATCTCATGTCTAAGTGTTTAATACTCCCCATAAATACTTTACTAACATTTAATTCTTATTAATTGTGACCCAAAGAAAGAAGTCCAGAGAAGCTATGATGTTTGTATGCACTCTAGTGATCATTTGGTTGCCTTTTTTTTCCTGATAAAATCGGTGCGAGTCATAGAGTATTAGAAATGCTGTGTGGCATTCGAATATCTTTATATAGGAGTTTAATGTAGATGCTTTGAAGGAAGGTTGATTTAGGAAGACAAAATGGACCACCTGGTCATTTGCAGTAAATTCTACTTGCCGCTTAAGAGCTTGAGGAAGAAGCAATGTTTCTTTTATTTTATATCTCATAAATGCTCAAAAGGAAGCAGCTGCTTGTGATTGAGAATTATTTAGTCTTTCGCTGAGATTGACACTTAAGGAGCCTTTTGTAATGAGCTTGTTTATTGAATTGTGACTAGTATTTGACACCTTATTCCTTTTTTGAATAACCATAATTGTTTATTCCATTGTCAATATAGAGATCTGCTTGTTTAATGTAGATGCTTAGAAGGTAGGGTGATTTAGGAAGATTCACTATTACTCAATACCCACTCCTTCCATAAATAAGTTGCAAATTACCTCAAGAGTTAGGAAGTAGTTAAATAATTTATGAACATCGTAGTTTGCTTTAGGCGCTATTTTAATTTACTATTTTGATTACGCATACGTTCGCATGACATAATTACGATTCCCAAAAATAAGTCAAGGTATGCGTTCGCACGACTTTTGCTAAACATTATTTAATAATTAATAAATCACGATTAATTGTGTACACGTACGCGTGACATGATTTTAGCGCCCCAAATAAAACGAATTCACGCATTTGTGATCCGTTTCAAAGATAAATCCATAAATTCAATAATTAAACGGTAAAAGATAAAATGCACGTAGGTTTAAAAGTACATAATTAAATAATTAATTAAGCCAGGTATGATTAAAAGCGACCGTGCTGAAACCACGGAATCCAAGAATGCCGAACACCTTCTCCTGGGTTAACAGAATTCCTTACCCAATCTTCTATGTTTTGGCGGACTTTAAACAGAGTCAATTTCCTCGATTTGGGATTTTAAAATAAACTGCTGACTTGGGATACCAAAACAAATATTCCAAGTGGCGACTCTAAATTAAATAAATAATCCAATTTCGAATAATGTCACTTTAATTGGAAAAACTCACCATTCCTCGAAAAAAAAAGGTGTGACAATGTGTTAATTCGAATGAGGTTGAATACAAACTATACTTAGTTATAGTCGAGGGCCAGTTATGGTCGGGGGTTAGTTAGGTGTTACTTCGAACGAGGTCGAATACAACTTATATTTAGTTATGGCCGAGAGTCAGTTAGGTTTTAATTTGAACGAGGTCGAATAAAACCTATATTTGGTTATGGCCGAGGGCCAATTATAGACGAGGACCAGCTAGGTGTTAATTCGAACGAGGTCGAATATAACCTATATTTGGTTATGGCCAAGGGCCAATTAGGTGTAAATCCGAATGTGGTCGAATATAACCTATATTTGGTGCAGTATTTGTCGACGTTGTGAACTTTTTAAGGCATCGTTGTCTTGGTTGTATATTTGGAAAAATAGGAATAACCTTCATGCGTTTGTGCTTTGTTCATACACTTGGAGAAATTTACATATTTTTACGGGCGTTGGCTGGTGTTCCTGTCCCAGTCTATCTAGTCCCTTCATTGGTCATCCTGGAGAGGCCTGAAAGGTCGAGCAATGAACTAGCCATCATGTGCCTTCGTCTGTGCATGCTTTAACTGTGCGTACTTCGACTTGAAGTGTCCCCTTCGTCGCCTCGTTAAATACCTCCTTGAGAAAACCCAATTGGGAAAAAACTCAAGTGAGGGAAAAAAGAGTACGACTAGGGGGACGCTCTTTCTTAAAAGTTGAAATACATGAGGTGGGTGATATTCCAGTTGTTTGGTAGCAGTTTTCGTTCCATTGTTTCTAGTTGGGATGACCCTTTGTTCGCTGTTGCCGTGATTTTGTACGGGCTATCCCGACGGATCCCAGTTTAACTTCCCGTGGGTCTTTGCTTGCTTGTATTTTAGCTTTAAGCACGTAGTCCCCAACTTTGAGCGGTCTAACCTTTGCCTTTTTGTTATAATAGCGTTATACCTGTCGTTTTTGGGAGATCATCCTTACATAGGCAATATTCCTTCGTTCTTCAACCTCGTCGAGCTCTTGCCTTCTGCTTTCGTCGTTCCTCAGCCCGCTCTCGTAAGAGTATCTCGGACTGGGCTCCCGGACTTCAATCGGGATTACAATATCAGTCCCACAGACTAACGAGCGAGGTGTCTCTCATGTGCTCGCCTTTGGCATTGTTTGGTAGGCCCAGAGTACTTCTGGTAATATTTCAGGCCATAGCCCTTTGGCGTCTTCGAGGTTTTTCTTCATGATGTTCAGCATCGACTTGTTGGAGGACTCCTCTTGCTCGTTGCGTGATATGGCGTTGAGAGTATTCTTTTGATATGCCATTTCTCAAAAAATTTGACGACCTTTTTCCTATAAATTGGGGTTTTTTATTGCAGCTTATCTCTTTGGGGAGGCCGAAACGATATATGATATTTTTCCATATGAAGGCGATCACTTCTTGTTCGCGTAATTGGGCGAATGCTCCTACTTTTACCCACTTAGAGAAATAGTCAGTTAAATCCAAAAGAACAGCGAACGGAGGTGACTGAGTGGGGGGTGTTCGCCTGCTTGGTGGATCATTGGGGCGTACTTTTTGCATTGCTCGCATTTTTTCACGAAATCCGCGACCTCTTTTTTCATGGTGGGCAAGTAATACCTTGCCCGTATGAGGCATCTGACTCTATTTTTGAAATGAGCTCCGCAGTGGCCTTTGTGGACCTCTTCAAGGACGCGCTGTGTTTGATTTTGACCTAGGCATTTCGCAAGAGGGCCGCCATACGTTTTCTTGTACAGGTCGTTGTGAATGATGCTTTACCTGGCTGCTTGCATTTATAATTTCTTGGCCTCTTTTTTATCAATTGGGAGTACGCCGTCCTGTATGTATGTAACAAGACAGCTGCACCAGTTCCAAGTCAGGTTTATGGTTCTTACCTCGATTAGATTTATTGATGAGTTGAGAAGATGGACTACACTTCTGTCTCCGGTTGTAATGTTTTTGGTGGCTGCGACTAATTTGGCGAGGCCGTCCGCCTCGGTATTCTATGCACGAGGGATCTGGTCGAGTTGACATTCGTCAAACTCGGCCAACAGCTTGTAGATTTCAATTTGGTATTTTTGTAACCTCTGTTCCTTTATTTGGAAAGTCCTTGTGACTTGATTGACTACGAGTTGAGAATCGCAGTGTAGTCTCAACCGTTTTGCCCCGTGTTTAAGCGCCAGCCTTAACCCTGCAATTACAGCCTCGTACTCGTCCTCATTCTTAGTCATATCCAGGCACCTTATGGATTGGCAAATCACTTCGCTGGTGGGGACTTCGAGTACGAGTCCCAATCCCAGTCCAGATCCCGACGCGTTAGATGCGTCGTCGGTGTACAGGACCCAGAGGTCTTGTGTTTGGGGAGAAGCATGGACAGCTTCTCGTCCGACTTCAAGCATTATTTTTGCACTGAAATCGGTGATGAAGTCTGCAAGTAGTTGCGACTTTATCATTGTTCGCGGCTGATATGTTATATCGCGCTCTCTCAGTTTGATGGCCCATTTGGCCAACCTGTCTGATAGCTCTGGTTTTGAGATATGGCGAGGTAGACGAGGATACGTTCGCCCGGCTCTGGTTTTGAGAGAAATGGTGGTGATCATAAATATGCTTTTAATTCCTTCAGGGCTAGAACGCACTCAAAAGTCCATTGGAGGCCGTTATCTTTTTTGAGTACGCCGAAAAATTTGTGACACCTATCTAATGATCGCAAAATGAATCTTGAAAGGGCAACGATACGGCCAGTTAACCTCTGAACCTATTTTTTGGTGGATAGGTGTTCTGGTATCCCTTTGATGACTCTGATCTGATCAGGGTTGACCTCGATCCCTCGCTGCAACACCAGGAAACCTAGAAATTTTCTCGAGGCCACGCTGAATGCACATTTTTCGGGATTACGTTTTATTGCGTACCGTCTGAGTATGTCTAAGGTTTCTCTTTGGTGGTCGATGTGATCTTATTTCATTTTGTACTTGACCAACATGTAGTCTATGCAGACTTCCATCGTTTTATCGAGCTGATTTTTGAACATCTTCGTTACCAACCTTTGGGAAGTATCCCCTGCATTCTTCAACCCGAAGAGAATGACCCTGTAGCGGTACGTCCCCTGGTGGGTGATGAAAGTGGTTTTTCCCTGGCCTTCTCTTCCATGAGGATCTGATTATAGCCCGAGTAGGAGTCCAAAAAGCTCAGCGATACATGCCCGATCATTGCGTCGATGAGTTGGTCGGTATGAGGTAATGGAAATGAATCCTCGGGGCATGCTTTATCAAATCTGTGAAGTCTACGCGCATTCACCATTTCCCATTCTTCTTTTTCACCATGACCACGTTGGTGACCCATTGGGGTATTTTGACTCCCTAACGGATCCGTTTTCCAATAGTTTTTCCATATAACAAGGGCATCATAGTGAGTGAAGACCAAACCGTTGGTATCTGACTTATCGAAGATGATACTTTCTTCGAGTTCATCATACTGTTCGTGGGCGATCGACCTTTTAAGCTTGTGGCTTGTGGTGACTGTTGATAGAAGCATCGTCACTATCGTCGATGATGGTGTGGACGATGCGAGTTGGCTAGAGCAATTTCGGCGGTCTATGATGCTGTTCGCATCCTCTGGCAAAGTCGGTCCTTCCTTGGTCGCTTAGCAATTCTTTGAGGTGTCCCTGTCAAAGCATGTTTACGACCTCCTGTCTAAGGGCAATGCAATCATCGGTTTTGTGTCCTCGTTTTTTGTGGAACTCACAAAGGGCATCAGACTTTCTGGTACTCAGATCTAACCTCATCTTTTGTGGCCACTTCACCTTTGGTTCTAGCTTCTCCAAGGTGTAGACTATTTCTGTAGGCGACACACAAAAATTGTGAGCAGATAACAAAAGGGCAATACCTCTTTCATTCCGGTGAGTCCCTATCCTTGCTCTGGGTGGGCCCTCTACGTGGCGGGAGGAGGATGCAATGTCGCTTCTGACATATGGCAAATGTCGTTCCCTGTTGGGTCGCGGAGCTTCGAGATCCCTCATGATATCATTTCTTTGATCTTTTCTGGATTCGGCTTGTACCGAGGTCAATCGATGAGTCGGCCCATCGAGGTCGTCCTCGTGGGCTCGGACCTCGGCATAATATGCGTTGTGTATTTCATCCCAAGTAATTGGGGGGTATTTCATAAGCCGACTTAATAACTTTCTTGTTGCTCTTAACCCATTTCTGCTCAGCCCGTTTTGAAAAGCTGCAACGGCCATCCCTTCCGATACATTCGGCAAGGTCATCCTTACTCGATTGAAACGAGCGAGGAAGTCCCTCAATCCCTCTCCCGGGGAATGTTTAATAGCAAATATGTCGTTTACTCTCGCTTCGGCCTTTTTGGCCCCGACATGGGCCGTTACGAACTAGTCGGCCATTTCTTCAAAGGTCTCAATGGAATGCGCAGGCAGTTGTGAATACCATGTTAACGCTTCTCCTGCGAGGGTCTCGCCGAATTTCTTCAACAAAATGGAGGATACTTGTTCCTTGGTAATAAGTGGGGAGTTTGACTACTTATTAGCGCCTTCTAGCTTTCGTTTTAGTCCAAAAATGCTTAATTGTATTCCCGAAATTTGATGAAATATGCTTAATTGCAAGAGTATTGGAAAATGAGCCATAAAGATGAAATCCAACTCAAGAAGGAGTGATTTGAACTGAACAACAAAAATAAGGCAAAAAGGCTAATGTGCTGACCAAAAAATTTCTTCTGTGGCCGCAGAATATGAAGAAGAATCAACAAAGCTTCAGTGTAAAGCGCGGACCGCACAATAATTGTGTGGCCTCAGAAGTCAAAGTTTAGAGAGTTCCTAATTGAAGCCTAACAAGAATTGCTGACCGCACTATAATTGTGCAGCCGCATAAATCAAATGTATGGCCGCACCCAGAATTATGCGGACCGCAAAACTCAAGAGATGCGGCCGTAATCCAGAATTGTGCGGCCGCGGAATCCACTCCTATCAAGAGTTGAAGAAAAGTGCGGATCGCACACAGAATTGTGCGGCCGCAGAACCTCCGAAAGGGCAATTTTGTCCGAAATTTCAGTTGTGTATAAATAGACTTCTTTCACGAAATTAGTTTAAGTTTGGAATATCTGAACTTCTGTAGCCGTTCTTATTTACTTCTTTAGGCAACTTTAGCTTACTTTAGTGATTAACATTGGATTTTCATCTCTTAATCTTTGAATATGAGTTTTATCATCTCCTCTTCCTTGTTCTCTTCATTACCCATTATGAGTAGCTAGATTTTAATCTAGGGTTGTGACCCAACCCTAGTGTGTAAACCTAATGAGTGTTTAATTTATGGCTTGTTTATGGTTGGGTGTTGATTATTTAGCCTTGTTCTTGCTTTTTATGTAGAATTAATGGTTGCAAACATTAGTTCATGCCTATTTGACTTGGTCTCCACTTGAGAAAGAGAGACTTAGTCTAGGAAAAACTAGGCTAACAAGAATTTGGGATGAAATCAAGAAATTGATAGTCCCAATTAAAGGGTTAACCTAAAGATAGTAAAACCCGACATGAGCATTTTATCAACTGTTTTGTTCAATACCCATTTGGACTTGAGAAAACCAAATTGGGCAAAATCACTCTCTTACCGAGAGGTATTGAGTGGGTAATTGAGTATTGATAGCTATAGCACACCCCGACCAAGAAAACAAGCTTTAAAGTGTACAACTCGTTAGGCAAACACCTAGGTGGAGGTCATAACCCTAGGCCTTTTACAATATTTAAAAACAATAACAAAAACACCATTTCTTAGTTTTAATTACTTATTTGCAATCTTAGTTTAATTTAGCTATAGAACCAACCAAATTTGTGGAAGTGTAATCAAAGATAGTTCAAACTCATATACAACACTCATAAATCCCAATCTCATAGCTCCTTGTGGAATTCGACCCCTACTCTGTTGGGTATTACTATTGCATCAACCGTTTCATAACCTCGAATAGAGGTGTGACTTGGACGACATCACTTGGCGAGATCATTGCCTTTCACGGCGGGAAAATGCGGAACAATTGTGGAAAAATGAAATGAAAACTTAAAGGAAACAACTAACAGTAAAAGATAACTTAACTAACTTATTTGAGATGCCGCTTGGCATATACAATAGTCAACTCTCGAAATGTACATAAACTATTCCAAAACCCGGAACATTGTAAGTCACAAACTACAGAAAAGAAAATAGTATCTCTTTACTCCAGAGTCTAATAAAAGGAAATATAGGTAGTATTTGACATGGGGAAGAGTAGAAAGGGACTCCGAGGTCTGCGGACGCGGCAGATATACCTTGAAGTCTCCAAAGCTGTCTCGGCTCACTACAAATAAGGTTGGTAGGAGGTACCTGGATCTGCACACGAAAAACATGTGCAGGAAAGGGCATGAGTACACCACAACGGTACCCAGTAAGTACCAAGACTAACCTCGGTCGAGTAGTGACGAGATCAGCTCAGGGCCCTACTGGTATATATATAATAAAAACAAGACCGAATAAAATATCGCAGTAAAGTAAAGACCAAAAATTTAAGAAGAATGAAATAATAGAAAGGTAACAGCTCAGTACACAGAGATAACAACAGGGGATCTCCTGAGATACCGTCTCGTAGTCCCAAAGCAAATGTGCAAGATAGGGGGATATACCGGAATACCGTTTCGTAGTCCCAAAGTAAATATGCAAAACAGGGGGATCTACCGGAACACCGTTCCGTAGTCCCAAAGTATATATGCAGAACATGGGGATCTACCGGAATACCGTTCCGTAGTCCCAAAGGTAAATATGCAGCTCAAGCATTAGAAATACAGCTACAACACGAAATCCTACTATTTAGACTAAGTACAAATTAAGGTAGAAGCAGGGAATTCACGAAGCATGCTGCACAGAGTTCAGATAAGCAATTAAGACACATTGACATGTGGTTCTAAACAAAACAAGATAATTACATATGCTAGTGTAGCTCAATTAAAGTGGAACAGGTTATTACTTAATGAAAATGGAGTTTTACAACAAATAGCCCGTGTACGCACACGGCGCTAACATATCAAAAATAGTACCAAATCCGAAGGGGAGTTCCCCCACTCAAGGTTGGGCAAGCCACTTACCTCGAACCAAGCCCAAATCAATCCGTAACAATGCTCTTTCCACGAATATCCGACTCCGAGTGGCCCAAATCTAGCCAAAATCAATTACATACCATAAATATAGCTATCAGAAACTAATCGAGTCAACGAAAATCTAACCTAAAGCGAGAAATTGGAAAATCACCCTAAAAAGTCTTCCTGGGCCCACGTCTCAAAATCGAGTAAAAGTCATAAAATACGAACAACAATTCACTCACGAGTCTAACCATACAAGAATTACTCGAATCCTACCTCAAATCGCCTTCCAGAACTCGAAATTATAGCCTATGAAGTTTCTACCATTTTCCCCCAAATTTCCAACTCAAATCTGTGATTAGAAGATAAAAATAACGATAGATCATGAAATATAACCCAATCCGAGTTAGAACCACTTACCCCAAGTATCTTCTTGAAGAAATCTCGAAAAATTGCCTCACACCGAGCTCTCAAACTCCCAAAATCGAAAATGGGAAATCAACCCTCGAAATACTATTTTCTGCCGAGCAAACTCACTTCTGTGAGCCTTCAACTGCACCTGCGGGAAAATCATCGCTGGTGCGAAAATCACTTATGAGGGTTGGGTCCCCATCTGCGGCAATGGGGGCCGCACCTGTGTATGTGCGCCTGCGGAACACTGTCCGTTTCTGCGGTCCTTTTCCGTGCCTGCGATTCCTTAGGCGCATCTGCGGGCATCGTAGATGCGATACTTCCCTCGCACCTGCGATCCTTGGTCAAGCCTCCAAACTCTGCATCTGCGCCCTTCACTCCGCACGTGCGATACCGCACTTGTGGTCTCCTCACCGCAGGTGCGAAAACACCAGATGCCTGAAGACTTCAACAACAACACAAATCCAACTTTTGATCCGTTAAGCACTCGAAATCAACCGGAGGCCCTCTGGACCTCAATCAAACATACCAAAAAGTGCTAAAACACCATATGAACTTAGTCGAGCCCTTAAATCACATCAAACAATGCTAAAATCACGAACCACCCTCCAAATTCAAACTTAAAGAACTTGAAACTTCCAATTTCTACAACCGACGCCGAAACCTAGCAAACCACGTCTGAATGACCCGAAATTTTGCACAAAAGTCATATTCCACATTACGGACTTACTCCAACTTTCTGAATCAGATTTCGACCCCGATGTCAAAAAGTCTATTACCGGTCCAAATCTCCAAAAATTCAACTTTCGCCATTTCAAGCCTAATTAAGCTACAGACTTCCAACATACAATCCGGACACACCCCTAAGCTCAAAATCACCCAACGGAGATAACGGAATTGACAGAACTCCGTAACGGAGTCGTCTTCACACAGTTCTGACTACGGTCCAAATTCTAAGACATAAGGGTGTATTGTGGGCCGGGCCCAGCCAGGGATCGGCCCGGGACCACGTGCC